TAAATAAATAAATAAATAAATAAATAAATAAATGAGGTTCCTAAAATGCTTAAGAAATCCCATGTATGTGTGTGTGGGTTTGTGTGTGCGCGCGCGCATTTAAGACCAGATGGCAAGCAATGGCTTGTTAGGATGATTATTGTGGCTGGGTGCTCCCGAGCTTGGCATTGCAACCCCACCTTTGCAAAAACACCCAACAAAAGACCTCCCGGGGCCAAAGCATGCCCTGCTCCTTCCTCCGGGGCTCCGGATTAGTCCTTTGTGTGGAGAGCAGACGGAGGTGGCGGCGCTGCCTGCGCGCGGGGCGGCGATGCCCGGGCTTGGGCAGGCTGGATTACGGTTGCCAGGCGATTTCTCCGTCTCCGCTGAGGAAACGGCATTTAAATAAAAAAGAGGTCAGTGGGCACAGTCGAGGTAAGCCGGTGAAGTGCGCGGCGGAGGAGCCGGATGTCACCAAGGCGCGCCGCCGGCTGGGCGCACCATCCAGCTGCCAAAAGTGCGACTCGCCTTCAGCTTTGTGTGTGTGCGTGCGTGCGTGTGTGTGTGTGTGTGAGAGAGAGATGCAAAACGGTTAGAGACCGCCCTGACTGATCCAGGAATAAAGTGAAGGCAGACCAATTAGCCCTCCGCCATATGGCCTCGGCTCTCTTGCTCATCCTTTCACCTCCAGATTGTTCGCTCCAGGTCCTCCATCTGAGGAACAATCTGCACGAGGCCGGGTGGTCTTTTTATATTTTAACAGTCATGAAATAGCCATCGGAATTAACCAGGAGAGAACAATAGCCAGAGAGGGGAGGGAGCAAATTGTGTCTCTCAGTGCATTTAAATAAGGTCAGCCATTTTAATTTTATTTTATTTTCCTGGGTGGTCTTCTGGTTTTGTTGTGATTTTTGCTGCAATTGTTTTGTACTGTATCTTTTTTTTTTAAACCTCATTTGGATGCTTTGCTCAATGGCACAGGTGACTGACAGCTGGAAAGCTTTTGTATTAGAAATGTCTGTGTGTGTGTGTGTAAGTGTTTTAGGACAAAGCAAGGTGCCAAAGGGAACTCCCCCTTTTTGCTTTCTGGTGTCCTGCAGGAAGTGTCGATCAATTTTCATCTGCAGCTGGATCATGGCTATAATATACACATTGGAGTGGGTGCCTCTATGTGTGTGTATCTCCTGCTGGCTGATCTGTTTCCATAATATAAGAAGCATTTTAGGTGAGCTTGCAGATCAGTTGGGGAAGACAGTTATTAAACAATCTTCTACCGCTAAGAAGGAAAGGGAAGGGAAAAGAAAGGGGAGAAAAATCTAGAGGTGTGTACAGTGTTGCTTGCCTGTATCCAAATACATCTGAAATCTGGAGAGTCTGTAATTCAAGACACAAGAATATGGCTGAAGTCCTTCTTAACACACTTTACCTACCTGGTTTGGCATGCAATTAGTGCAGCTATGGACAAAGGGGCGGATTTTTCTCCACCCACCCATTCTTCCTCTGCATGGAGTGGAATTTCTACTCTGATGTTGTGGCATGATGTATTGGAAGATGATCTAGGGATGGTTCATGTGCTGAGGGGTGCCACAACTGGAGAAAAAATTGGGGAGCACTTGCCCCAATATTTTGAGGGTTATCTTCCATAATGAACCAACTATAGCTTGGTGTGAGATCAGAAGCAGAAGATCGAGCTTATTCCTGATGAAATAATCCACAGTAAAGAATCATAATCTTGGTATTTGTGCCTAACAGGCTAGCATCAATGTTCATGTGCCAAGTGCTGTTTCCCCCCCCATGCATGATAATGCACCTGTTGCATTGTTTAAACTGCTGACTGCCAGACTAGCAACATGCTTAGCTTCTACATTTCATTTCCCTTTGGACAGAATGAATGCATGCACCTCTCTATGACTCCACTTCAGGGTTGATAGGAATCGGTGTGCTGTTGTTTTAATGTTGCGCTGTGGGGCTGTGGGAATCCATGGGTTTGTTAGAACAAGTGCCTTAGGAAGTCAAGCATATTGATATTTAAGGAAGAGGCAAGAGGAAAAGGAAGGAGTAAAAAAAAAGTTGAAGTGGAATCTGCAATCATCCCCCAGATTTATTTCTGGTACCAGCAACTAGAAATCAGTCATAGAGCTGTTCCTGTTGCACTCAATATTTGATGAGGCCGTGCAAGAGCTACAAAGAAAACAGTCAGCACATAAGAACAAGAGGGAAGCAGAACCTGAAAGGTGGTACATCATCTGCCAGGCTGTACCGCTTGCACTCTGGATTGAGTAACAGACTAAGAATCAGGCATCCTGCGATGGATTCCCTGGGGAGAACTGGTAAAACCACTCCTTAAATACATCAGCTTGACAACCCTGTTAACGGCTGTTCTAAGTCCGATGTGACCTGAGGGTACATAATGATAGCCATTTCATTTTGGAGACCATATGCTCCCCTGGCACTGTTGGACCGCCGCATCCATCAGCCCTGGTCACCACAGCCAAGGGTCAAAGGATGATGGGTTTTGTAGTTGACAACATCTGGAGGGCCACACATTCCCCTACCATGCTTTAGCTGGTGGACTGCCTAGGGGTTTACTCACTGGTCACTGTGAAACATCAAGGAGAAGTTTCAAAGCTAGTCTTGTTTTTAATTATATATTTCTGAGAAGCATGGAATCCCCCCCCCCAGTGGCAGATGACAACTGTTCAGCCACCATCCAAAGATCACATGAGTCGTATAGGATGCCGCCACCTCTTTCAGCTCTTAGAACTCTTTCATCCATACTGGCAGCAGTCTGGTGGATGAAGATCATGGAGAGAATGCTACGTGTATTCTGAGAACGGTAGACTCGATATTTTCCATCTTAAGTTCTGGCTTGCTCTTTCCCCCTTATTAGAGGGATGTCTGAATGTAGACCTGTCTAGCATCAGCCACATGTGAGTTCCACTCAGGGTATGGATGGGTGCATCATTGGGAGGTCTCCAGGAAGGGGTTCGAAAGCCATCCTTCAGGGACCCTCCCGTTCTGGGGTTTCTTGCACTGAGCATGTTGGCAGGGTGAGCACTCAGGCTTCCTCCAGTACTTCAGTTTTAGAGCTGGGGGAAATGTCTTAAGAATGAGTGCAGAATTGTAGAGATTTTGCCAGTGTTAAATTGGAGAGACAGAAATGGTGGAGGGTAGAATGGAATTATGTACTCATGTAACTGGAGACTTTTTTAAAAAAAAAATGGTATGGCCGTTCCCATCATCCCCAGCAGAACTGATTGGAGGATTCTGGAAGTTATTGTCCCCCCAAAGTAAATTTTCCATGTTGTAATTGCACCTTGGATTCTACACTTCTACTAGTGCACAGGCTCTGTGCACCTCTGGCCTCCCTATGCATGAGTTCTGGATACACATTGTTCGTCTTTGTGACATCAAAGGTTGTGAATTTCACATCCAGGGCATTTCCATGTTGGGAGGAATAGACACACGCCCCTGTACAGAAGCTCAACCAGTGATCATGTCTAGAACAGGGTGGTAAATCTCTGCTCATGGGGGAGGGGGAAACATACCCAAAATTCTTTCAGTGGATGACCTATTTTGGAGAAACAGCTCTGATCATTGAAGGAGGATAGGAGTTTGGGGAGATTCCAGTGCCAGGCAACATATCTCAGGTAGTCTTCAATTTGTAACCTCATCGCCACAGGTAGAAACCTAAATGTGGAAGGCTTGCTTATTAGGGTTACTCAGTTGTGAGGAGTGGCAGTGGGTTTGGCAACCCTTTCTATATAGTCAGAAGCATATACTAAGTTCAGGCCACCAGCTAGGGGATTGAGGGGGTGGGTTGTAAATCCAAAAAAAAAAAAAAAGATGTGGGGAGTGGCAGTGGGTTTGGCAATCTTTTTTATATAGTCAGAAGCATATACTAAGTCCAGGCCACCAGCTAGGGGCTTGAGGGGGTGGGTTGTAAGTCAACCTGCTGTCTTGAGTTCCTTGGGGAGATGGAATATAAATGTTATAAAGAAATAAGAAACCGGCTGCTATCTTGAGTTCCTTGGGGAGAAGATGGAATATAAATGTTATAAAGAAATAATAAATTATTGTGATGAT